TGCTTCCATCTCAGCTTCCTAACTTCAAAGCTGCATCTTACGGGTTTTTTCTCTGGCCAGAAGTTCGATGGCAAATCCTCCCTCTTCAAGTTGGCAATCCAACGACCAACCCGTCCGTGGAGGATCAGGAATCGTACAGGTGAAAAAACTCATCTTTTTTTCAGTTTTACCCGATGTATTCCAACATCCAGCTGCCATGCACGTGGGCATTGTCAGTTTCACTATAGCTCTGGTGAATTTCAATGGTGAAGTCTTCTGGAAATCTTCAATTATTGTTGCTGATTGCAGATGTGTCTAGTAGTTCCCATTGATTTTGCTTGTAAAGCGGGGAGAATGGCGCTAGGCTTACCGCACTCTGATGTCACTGCCGGAAGATGGCAGGAGTGAGGTGTTACTATATTTGGGCAAAAATCGCTGGTCCCGGACTCTGTGATCATAACGAAAAATATTATTTTTATTTTTTTACTGATTAACGCTAAATTAATTTAATCACTGCAAACATATTAGTTCTAGGTATAAATTATGATCCACTGATTATTTGTTGCTGACCGGACTTTTCCTTTAAGTATTAATAGATGTTTTAGGGTATGGTCTTCATTCCTAATTAGAAGCGCTAAATTTCATTTTTTCTAGTCTTTGCAACTAATTTTTATGTTCCAGGTGATCTCCTAAGATTGCTGGGCAAATGATAATACAAACACTTTTGCTCAATCAATCAACCAATCAAAATGATTCCCTGCAACTCTATTCAGTATCATTTTACTTCATCTGCTTCATTTGGCCGTCTCTTCCTCGTATTAATAACCTGTATCTTAACGATAATTCAATGGCATGACATTATCTGTTGATAATTAAGCAGTGATGAAAGATGGTATCAATCTGGGTTGTTACCCGAGCTTTACATGTGCAGCCCTGACCTTGAAGAGGCTGGTCAAAAGCACTGATTTAATACAAACTGTTAAAATAAGAGTAATAGGATAAGTAAACAGTGATGACTGATCCAAAATGTCCTTATAGGATTACAGTGCAAGGTCTAAACTTCACGGATATGGAGAGGTCACGGGAATGACATGGGGCATGTGAGTCTGCCGTTTTTATTAAAGTATCCATGCAACAGGCTGACTCCTATCAGCTCACATGCATGCAGAAATCTGAACCAAACGCTACAGAGACTCTCTTATCTCTTATTTTCCCTTCCAAATTTAATTGCAACACAGACTACAATTAGTGTTGAAACATCAAATAATCTTCTCAAAGTGGAGTTACTTTAATGTGAGGAATGCGTCTGAAGCTCATGGACTGGCTTCAGAGAGGAATCTTCCCTCCCAGAATAGATTTCATTAAAACAAACATGAAGAGAACAGGGTGTACCGGAACATGTTTGCTTGATATTGATAGAGCCCTTAATGTAACACTATCATGCAACTGAAGGTCAGACAGACTATTTCCCCTTGACATCCTGATTTAACCACATTACAGCATTTTCAAGTCACAGACACAGCAGCAGAAACCCACCTGAGGGTTGTCTTCCATGATACAGCGGATCTTCTCCACCACGTCGATGCGGCGCTGCCGGTGCAAAGCGTTGATCAGCTTGGCAAGGTTGGCCCCGCTGTCTCGGATGGTCCAGTGCTGCAGCGCTGCGTACGCACGCTCGTGATCAGAGGAGTAGCCATTTGAGAAGGCCGCAACCTCACGTTCAGTGGCATTGGCCAGCGACTGATAGATGTCGATCCACTGGTTGCCAACTTGGGCTGCAACCAGCTTCAGGATATCCACCCCTGAGGAGAAACACACATGCACATGGACAAGCATTAAAAGCTTGTATTTTAAAAAATACGGGTTCTTAAATATGCAAAAATGCAAGATGTAGAATAAATCAGCTGCACAAATAGAGAATAACAAACATTTGATTTGGGACAGGACTATTTACCCATTGAAAAATTACTTTGCTTGTCTAAAAAGTCGCTTTACCCTCTTAAAGTTATTGATAATGTCAACCCAACGTAAATAAAACTTAAAGCTCCATTAATCCTTGTTAGGCTGAATGCAGAGTGTTCAAAATTATCACAAATACCAATATTAAATCTGGGTGTAGTTGTGGACTCACCCAGATTTGTCTCCTACCCTCGCCAGAGCTAAACCCTTCAGAGGCTCATAAAGACAGTAACAAAGCCAGCCTTTCTATCACCTAAAGGAAAATCTCCAGGACTAAAGAACTAATGTCTCAGCAGGACCCTGAAAAACGAATCCAGGTATTTATCTTTCTTAGAACTGATCACTGCAGCGTTGTCTTCACAGGTCTTCCTAAAAATTAAATGGTCCTGCTGCAGCTAATCTAGAAAGCTGCTGCCTGCATCCTCACTAAAACTAAAAAAGTGGAGCACATCAACCCAGTTCTAAAGTCCTACCAATGGCCCCATGTACTGTATGTCAGGAAATAGACTTTAAAATGCTTCTTTTAGTCCATAAATCACTGAATGGCTTAAGCTCCAAAACAGAAAATTTTGACTAAGACACTGTAGATAGAGAGGACTGATCATTTAGCCATCCCAGATAACAAATGAGAATGATTTTTGGTTAATTCTACAGGAAACATCTCACTTATAATTCCTTTAAGATCAGAAAACCAAACACAAGGAGAACCAAGACCCTTCAACAGCAGAAACCTGAGTTGGTGGCAGTCCATTCGGTCAAAGGCTGTATGAGGATCAAAAAAACCTCTTCATCTGTCAGTTGTTTGCATTCTAAGTTTACAGAGCAGCAGGTAAATGATTTCATTTTGTACTGATGTTCAGGAAGGTTTTATTTAAAATGTATGCATGTATGTATAATGTGCAATGTATACAGGAGGGACAGGGTTGTATATGTCAGTTATTTAAAGCCCCTGCAGGATTCCTCAGTTGTCATGCAATCAACTAGCAATACTAACAGTGCGAGCTTCAAGATACAGACTTAAATATCTGACAATCTACAAAGCTATATGGGAAGTTAAAACAATTTAAAAAGGAATTAGAGAAAGCTTTTCACAAACAAAGTTAAATAAAGTTAGGCTGTTGTTCGACATAAGTTCTGGACTAGTTATGAATGCGCTATATATGCGCCCAAAATTGAAAAAAAAAATACATAGAAAGTTTCAGCCTATGCCAGCGTTGTAGAAGATTCTGGGACGTTGGGTATAAGTTGTCTAATTTGGCAAGGTGTGACAGGGCGCTAAAGTAAGCATAACTCTGGAGTGATATTCCACGTTCAACTCCCAGTAGGGACCATTAACTGCATGGCTTCACTTTCTCAGCCTTTGTTGCTGTTTGGTAACTTTGAAAGAGAAGCCATTCCCTGTTCTCTCCTCTCTGGTCTAAACTTTCTCACAAAATTCCGACTTATCTGTTTGGGGGGAAACACAGAAGCTACTTCTCTCTTATCTGACACCAGTATGCTGATTGTTACTTCTTGTTGGCCATTATTGAAGGATAGAATGCGTCAGTGAATTTTATTAAATAGTCGTCTTTCCAGGTAGAAGTTGCGACTAAAAGTAGAGTCATGTTTGATAATTAACTGTGCATGCTTGACGGATTTAATGAAATCTTATAAAGTCTCAGCTTTAGTTTAGCCAACAAGGGTAAGATGAGGTTGAGGTCAGAAGGGCGCTCAGATACCTGCACACCAGACCTAGTCATCTGTGTCCTTGTGGACCTTGCTTTGTGGACTGGCTGTTCAAACCAGACTGCACATCAGTCAAAGAGGAGCAGGCCATCCCCACACTGTTGCCTTGAGAATGTTATAGAAGTTCTTAATGTAATGCAGGATAAATAAACTATCTACATACACCAAACGAACCAACACACACCTTAAGAGTGCAGTCGGATGAATCCTGTTTCCCTGGCAACCATCAAACATGAAGCTGACCAGTAAACTCAGACAGCATGAGTCATCAACCCAGCTTCTCCACCTTAATAAACTGCATGCGTTACACCAATGCTTTTTGTTGCATTTGATGATGTATGATCTGGTTGAACTGTAAAGTGCCTTGAGATGACATGTGTTGTGAATTTGGCGCTATAGAAATAAACTGAATTGAATTGAATTGAATGTAAGTTCTGGATAAAACCTCTAGCCCCTAAGATAGAAGAACTGTTGTTTATTCTACTGGCTGCAAATGCTGTGCAAAGGCACGGATACAAAGCACATGCAAAAGAAAAGTGCTGCAAATGAGAAATGCTGGAAATAACAGGAAATACATCGATACCAACAAGAAAAGATGCTGCAAACACAAAAACCTGCTACATGTAAACACTTGAGGGAAGGAGGAGGTGATAGGAAAATGAACAAAGGTTAGCACCACCCTCCTTGGTCATCTTATGTAAAACATTACCTATTGTCAGTCATATGCAATATTCAATATGCAATATATTTTTTAACTTATTTGTAGTGTAGGCCATTTTTGGCCCCGATACCAATGCCCGATACCTGGCTGTGCAGTATTGGCCAATACCGATACCGATAGCATCACTTTGAAATTGGTGTGTGTGTAAATATGAAGAACTTTATACTACTTGGATGTAAAATAATTGCCATCATGGCTTTGTCAAGCTGCTGCCTACCTTTGTGAAGCAGGAAAAAGACGAATACAAAGTGAATCCAGTAGAACTTTTATTGCCTACGTGGAATGGGTGACAATAGTTGAATAAACTTTTGGGTCTTAAAATTGTATCAGTGCCCTATTTGTCGGTACTTGCCGATACCATTACCACCACTTTAGTGCTGGATGGGGGCCCTGCCCTATACTGGTATCGGTGCAATATTACCTATTTATAAGGTCAGTACATTTCTGCATTGCAAGTACTATATACAATCTTTTAATATTGTCTGTCATATATTTTATCTTTAATGGCATCTTTCTTTAACTCTTTGTATTCTATATAAGCTACTGGAACCAGAATTTCCCTGAAGAAGTAATCCCAAGGGATAAAAAAAGTTGAGTCTAACACTCAAAGCTCACCAAATACATGTAAAGTACATGCAATATCAATATGGGGATCAGTTTTAATATCCAAGAAGATTCTAGATGGGGTATTGGTGAAAATGTTTTCAGTCTGAAAAGGTAACTTGTCTTTATTCCCTCCAAATGTCCTCTGTATGGTTTATGTTTTAGCAACAGATCTGATCCACAGATGTTGATCTGTTGTAATGTCTATGGTCTGATCCCATATTTGTTGATGCAGAGCTAGTTTGCAGCTGTTTCAGCTACTTGCAGGGTTTTACCATGCCTTTTTTTTTTTTGCTTAGCAAAATTTACCAGTCCACTTTCAGTTTTCACCATTTCTCCTTTGCAGCATTTTACCTTTGCATGCATCTTATATGTTAGTCTAACTTCAATTTTAAATTAGCTAAAAATACATAGAAATGCATGACATTTGCATCAAACGACTCAATAAAAAACATTTCATCCAGAAAGGCTTTACACGGCAGAGCGTTCCTTTCAGTTTCGATAAGCATCAAGTTGATCCCTGATTACTCTCTGCAGCCGCAAACATGCTAAGTGCATAAATCCAGGATGAGTCTCCATCCCATACTGGAGAAGAGAGATTAGGCCGAAGTAAGCTCGTAGTAGTGACTCATGGTGTGACACATATACAGTAGGAGCATGACTTCAAGCACACAACAGGCAAAAAGGAAGTCTAAAGAGAAACCTGTTACAGAGAAAACCCAAACATATATTTCACATATTTCTTCAGCTCAAATTGAAACCAGATTTCAACACGAGACTCAAAATCAACGCATCAAAGCCTTAATTGACCTAATTTCTCTCCATGTTTTGGGCTTAAAAAATAAAGTAGACAGGACAACACACACACCAATGCAGCTCCAGATGATACTCGCATATTTCATCGGGTCAAAGGAGCTCGCGTGCTGCCCGACTGGGCCGAGAGCCTGTCGAGTCATATCTGCCTCACCGGCCCCAACAGACTGCGGCAAAAAAGAAATCCCCCTGCTCTGCATACTTCAGTGCCACTGCAAGCTGGACTCACTTAAATGACCTATATAAGTGTTGTGGTGATTCAGTGTGTCAGATGATGATGCATTAGTGAAATAAGGGAGTTTACTTGAGGGTAATGTTTGTGTTTGCTGTCATTTAAAGTGTTCCCTAAATGGGACAACCTGAGCAATCTTGCTAAAGCAAGCGTGATTTTATTTTTTAAGTAAAAAGAACCCTATTACATTCATTGCACTGAATAACATATAGATCTGAAGACCGACTCATCTGGTGCAAAAGATGTTACTCACCCCACTTGTTTGGCCTTTTTTTGATAATAATCTATTTGCTTAATCATTCTAAATTCCTTTGCCCAATAAAAAGAAGTTTATCCTCATAATTTTTCTTCTCTTTCACATGAACAGTAGGGCTGCATCAATGGATTATTTGAGTGATCAATTCATCTATTGATACTTTTTTCAGTTAATTAATGAATCTTTACTTCTAGTAAATTATTGTATCTAAATAATCCCATATTTGGAATATATTTTTAATATAATTTTAAATGAAATACAAACAAAAAAACTATAAAACAATCTTGGCACATAAATAAATACAACAGCAATTTTATCTTTAGTCATAAAAGTGTGTAGATTGTATATGTCTAGCCTTTATTTATAGTTTTGTTACTTCAGGTAGGTTTTTCTTTCAGAATGTTTTAGTCGTACCATTATTCTAGTCAACAATTCCATGAAATGACCAAATTAGCTTACAATTGCTTCAATAGTCGATTGATGACAATAAATC